CTTTTTAGCAAAGGAAATTACACTCAATATAAAATGACTAATTTCTTTTCACTATTCAATTTGGTTTCATTTATATAGCACCAAATTACAACAGCAGTCACTTCAAGGTGCTTTATATTTTTAAAATTAAAGTTAAACTATTAGACGACCCCTTATGAGCAAGCACTTGGCGACAGCAGGAGGTAAAAATTTTCTTTTAACAGGAAAAACATTTCCAGCAGAACCAGGCTCAGGGAGGGACGGGACAATATATATTATATTCAGTGCATGCATGGACAGTTTTCAGGGTGAAAATGTCAGAGGTCACACGAGAGTGGCCCGACTGCTTTGAGTTGACAGAAAGGCTAAAGTACGTAAAACAAAACTCGCTACATCTATGCAAAAGAGGATCTCTGAAAGCACAACCCTGAAGCAGACGGGCTCCAGCAGCAGAAGACCACGCCAGGTGCTATTCCACTACAGGCTACAATTCACACGCTCTCAGAAGATGGGAAACATTGCCTGGTCTAATGATACGCATTAGTTAAGCTACAAACATGTTTGCAGTCTTAAAACTTAAACTTAAAACAATATGGCACATTTGTGCACAAATATTCAAGCATGTTAACCGATACTCTAAATGTGAGACATTAAATTGATGAAGTTTTGCTACTGAAACTCTGCTATATCCCATGATGTTAATGCATCTGAAGTTTTATGTAACAAAGCAAGATTTTGGTCTTAGATCAAGACCTGCTGTTATTAACAACAGTATATTATATATACGTTTTGCCTCATAAACATATATTAATGTTACAATATAAAAGCTAAATAAATGAATAAATCACTTGATTCTGATGGTGTCAGGTAGGAACTTTTTCAGCTTTCACCAGAGCCAATGGTTCAAATAAATGAAATCTGGGGCCAAACTGTCCTCTAAGTACTGCTTCCGGATGAAAACTGCACTTTATTTTCCACTTGTTTCTGTGAAACACGCTGAATGAGGCTGGTTCTGAGAGTTAAAGTCGTTTGCTGGGCTTCACCTTCAACATCAGCCTCGCCTTCTCTTTCAGCTGCTGTTTGCAGTGCTCAGGCACACAGTGCAGTGGTGCTGGAGGAGGTTGGGGGGTCCCCGGCTGAGAAGAGCGTACTGTCAGGGAATCAGCTGGACAAAAGGTGCAGTGGAGTGAGAGATTGAGGGAGGAAGCGAGGCCGGGTGGAGGAGCGGGACAAAGCCGAGGCAGTAAAGCCTCCTGCCTGATAGCCTTATCTGATTCTACTCCAGCGCTTGATGGCTTTTTTTTCACCCTGCCTTTAAAGCGCACAGGTTGTGCCTTTGGTGTGAAGCCTAGCAGAAAATGTTAATCAAGAGAGGGACTGTGAGGAGAAAGGCGAGAGAAAGGGGAGAGTCACTCTGTTGAGGCCATAATCTGTAATGAGACCGAGGCGATTCAGTTGCAATTGAGAGAGGAAGAATGGGGCCATGATGATGATGATGAGCAGGGAGGTTCACTCTTTTACTGGCGTTTGTTTTTCTGTTTTGTTTCTTTTCTCTTGTGGAGTCAGTGCTCTTGCACCGGCACAGAGCCGCGGGTCACAGCTCATTTAATACACACCCTCGGACATTGTTTCCAACGTCTGCAGCTGACAGATGAAAAATACTTCTGACTGCTCCACTGACCGTTATCAGTCTGTGTATGATTTATATTTCCCTCTATGGCAAATATTGATGCTGTTTCTAGTAATCACAGCTCTGAATAACGGCTGATGCAACCCTCATTAATTATTCGCTTGTTTCTTGCAGTCTGTAGTAAATACAGAGGTTGTCTTAGTGCTGTGGAAAACAAAGCAGGAAGTGGACAATGCGTGTGCCGCACTCGGCAGTGAAACGTTTCACTTGCACGTGCAACTAGAAGTAGATGGACTGTAATGAAGGAAACAAACATGTAATAAATAAAGTCACCATGACCAAGTCATGTCCAGCAGCATCTGTTTCATGGTGGATTTAAAGCCCTGCCTCTTTGCTGCGACCAAGAAAGTGAATCCAGGTGGAGTGAAAGAAGAGTTTACGACATCTTTTTAATCATGTTTGTTATCAAAAGCTTTGAGCTAAGCCAATAAAAGTTAATTATCTGACCTCCTCTTCAAAACGTTAAAACCACCGGAGGTTTGTTTTAAATAGGCACAAAGCACCTGAATCAACAACAACAACAAAAAAATAAATACGTGTTTGTATGCAGATAAACTGCTTCTCTAGTTCCCTTAGCTCTTTATATTTGGCAGGTTTCTGATA